CTTCACTTCATGGGATTGTATGTCCATTTCTTTCACCAGATTAGAGAAGTTTTCAGTCATTATTTTTTCAAATAAGTTTTCAATTCCTTGCTCTCTCTTCCCCTTCCAGCATCCCCATGATGCAAATATTGGTATGCTTGAAGTTGTCCCAAAGACTCCTTAAACCGTCCCCATTTTTCTGGATTCTTTCTTCCTTTTGCTGTTCTTATTGGATATTTTCTGTTTTCTTACATTTCAAATTGCTGGTTTGATCCTCTGCTTCATCTACTCCATTGTTTATTCCTTGTGATGTATTCTTCATTTTAGTTAGTGTATTCTTCATTTCTGATGGGTTCTTTTTAGTGTTTTCTATCTCCATTTTTATGTTTATATCCCTTTGTTGAAATTCTCACTAAGTTCATCTACTCTTCCCCTAAGTTCACTGAGCACCCAGTGTTACGACATCAGACTGTCATGGACTCAGCATCTGGTAGATTGCTTGTTTCCATTTTGTTTAGTTCATTTTATGGAGTTTTGTTATTTTCTTTCATTTGGGACGTTTCTTTGTCTCCTCATTTTGGCTACCTCCCTGTGTTTGTTTTTATCTACTAGGTAAAGCTGCTCTATTTCCTGGTAGTTTGGTCTTATGTAGTAGACCAGACTACTAGTCTGGTGTCTTGTAGGTGTCTTGTAGGGTCCTGTGGCTCAACCTCTCAGGTCACTTCAGCTCAGCACTCCAGGTGCATCCCACCCTGCCCCACCCCCCACAATAAACTATGTGCACCCTTCTATTGTAGGTAAGTCTTGACTGCTCTCAATGGGAATGATTTATCTCCAGGCCAATCAACTGCAAAGAATGGCAGTGACCACTTCAGGGGAGCTGTTTCAGGGGGGCCAGCCGCACAGAGCAGGACTTATTTCAGTGGGTCTCTGGTGCCCTCTGAGTCTTTCTCTTGAGTGTGTTAATTGTGGAGGTGTTTGGGTGGTACTTTGGCATGGTCTGAAGCTGTCCACTGGGTGTGCTGGCTCTGATGCCTCCCAAGACTTGCAAGCCAAGATCAGATGCCACCTGTGCCCTGCTCAGGGCTACTCAGCATGACCTACAAAGCAATCTTCAGATGGCTGCTACTTGTGTTAGGCTTGGAGGTGCCTGGGAGAGGCCAAGCTGTTAGTGCTGGCTGCTATTAGTGTTAGTCCTGAGACCACTTAGCAAGAGGTACAGGACTCACTGAGGCCAGATGCTACTTGTTTGAGATTTGTGAACTTTTGAGAAGTTTTAGGAAAGTATGCATCATGAGCTAAGACAAGCCATTTGTATATAAAAACCACTGTAAACAGCTTGGGTGGGCCTGCGAGTTGAGTGGGACAGAGTCTCAGAGAAGCATAGGGCAGGCTGAACAGTGTTAGCCAGGTTGATAGAGATTCAGATATGGTACCCATCTGCTGGCTCTGTGGGGGAGGTCTCAGCAAAGGAGCAATGGTCACTACCAATACCTCCATCTGAGAGAAAGGTACCACTCCAGTCATTGCTTTGAAGCCAGACAACTGAGTTCCTCCTTACATGTCCCTGGTGCCCCAGCACTGGAGGTCAGAGCAAATGAGTCCAAGTAAGTCCATGCAGGCTCTGTAAGGGGAACTTCCTGGAGCTCCAGAAGCCCTCCATCTCATTCACCTATAATCCCCACTAGGTTTTACAGCCAGAAGTTTTGGGGACTTCTCTTCCCAGAACCTCAGCTGTGGGGCCTGGTGTAGGGCTGGGTCACATCACTCCTCAGAGGAAACCTATTAAGCCAAGATATCCCTCCAATTTTTTAACTACCACATGTGGGTGTGGGACCAAACTGTTCTGTGTCTCTGTCCCACCTATCAGTCTCTGCATGGCTTCTTCTTTCCATCCTTAGTTACAGGACTTCTGTTAATCTAGATTCCAGATGGTTCTGAATGATGTTTTATGTAGTTTAGTTGTAATTTTGATGTTGTTGTGGATGTGGGAGGATTCAAGTACTGCATTTACTTATGCTGCTGTCTTGACCAGAAGCCACAAATGTCTTATACCAATATACTGGTAGACAGTTTATTTCCACTGTGAAGCCACCAAATGGAAGCTAAAGACTGGTGGTCTAAATAGATTAAAGTATTTTAACTACACAAGTCACTAATGCTCTAACTATCACTATTTGGACACCAAGGAAACTGTAAAACACTGGAACCTATGGCATGCACTCTTGTTCAAGCAGGAAGTAGAAATTTTATAGCAGGGGTTGGTTCCAGCTAGCCTCAGGAGAGAATAGAATGATATATTTGATTCCCTTAAAAATCATATCTTAATCAAATTTCTCTTAATTTATTCAGCAGCAAAATCTTTTTCCTTAGCAGTTGCTTGTTAAAAAGTTGAATCGTTAATTGACTACTGTCAAATTGTGATTTAGAGTTGGCCTAGAATATTAAAATTATCAGAGACATTCGAAGTCCTTACCATTTCATCTGTCTAAATTCCTAAGATATATCCTTTTAATAAGTTAATCAGAAAACATTGACAATAATATCTCAACACCCACCCACAAAAATAAAAACCTTTCCCAGCTTCTAGACACCATCTATAATCTGTGGCTTATGGTCTCCTTCCATCTCTACCACACAGATTACTCTTCCACATCTACGATCCTTCTGATCACACTGAAACACCCAGATAAATGATAATCTACCTATTTTAAAACCTACTAATTAACAAACTTAATACCAACCATCTGCTCCTTAATTTCTCTTTGCCTTATGATATTATATTCCAGGTTCTGGGAATTAGGCTGTAGATATTTGGAAGGCCATTATTCTGCCTACCACATCCCTCTTGCCTCTAGCAGATGATACTGTAAATAAAGGTGGATTTGTTCATCAGTCATTCAATGCCCATTACCTTTTCTTATTGTTAAGAAATCAATATTCAAATATAAAACCCAGATGTACTGATTAGTTTATTTCAAGTGTCTGGTAATTTTATTGTTCTGGTTCCTTTCAGATTGCATCAATTCTACAAATTATTAAATTTTACATTACTTTTTACTTATAGGAAACACCTTTTGTCATATCTGCCCAAATCTTAATGATTCTCTTTACACCCTCCATTATACACAGACCTGTTGTCACCATTTTAATATGAGATGAAACCTACAACCACTGTTGACCAGAACTGAACTGGGTGTCTCATCCAAGTTGGAATAATCACAATCCCTTTCTTAGGAATCTAGGGTGAATCTGTTCTCTGTAGCTGGTAATGCACCATTTGTACTTGAAAATTTTGTATGGCACTCTTCCACGCACTACATGGATTGTTTAACAGAGAAAGACAGTCATCAGGAAACAAGAAACAAGAAACAAGAAACAAGAAACAAAAAACCTAAGGCAGATGAACATAAGGAATAGAAAATGATCCCTGGAGTCTCAGTGGACTTAAAATATCTGATTCCATTTCTTCCCAGTACCTAGTTTTATTCTTTTCCTTAGTTTCCATGAGGCACACCTATCAACAGAATTTTCTTTATTGCTTAAACCATTCCAGGTTGTTTTCTGTTATTTAAAACTAAAATTGCCATTTTCCACCACAATGACAGTATGGAATAGTTGTTTGCCCCCACAGAATACAAAGCAACAGTGCTGTCCCTGGAAGCTTATTATCAGTACAAACCATACAGGTGTGTAAAAGATATCCTTACATAATGCTAGGTTACATTATTAAAAATAAAGTACTGAAAATGTAGACATTTACCTTATAGATATTGTTGAAAAGTAGCTTCTATGTACAGCTACTCTTATCCCTTCTGGGCTGGAAGTCTCCACTCTGAACTAAATCTGTAGGATGGAGCTGAAAGGGAGCCTGTGGCACATCACCAGCTTTAACTGATGGAATTGCTATTCTGGCCAGTGCTATCACAGAGGCATTATCCTCCAGCACCATCATGCCTTTATTCACCTTTTGGTACTATGTATGCACACATCTATCTCCACTGAAAATTCAAACTCATTTAAAGTCAAGTCATCGGAGAGATGCCAATTAAAACTACAATGAGATATCATCTCACACCTGCCAAAATGGCTATCATCAAGAAATCAACCAACAACAAGTGTTGGTGAGGATGTGAAGAAAAGGGAACCCTAGTGCACTATTGGTGAGAATGCAGACTGGAAAACAGTATGGAGTTTTCTCACAAAATTAAAAACAGAACTGCCTTTTAACCCAGCAATTCCACTTCTAGGAATACATACAAAGAATCCCAAAACACCAATTCAAAAGAATATATGCACCCCATGTTCATAGCAGCATTATTTACAATAGCCAAGATTTGGAAACAGCCTAAGTGTCCATCAGTATGTGAGTGGATAAGAAAACTGTGGTACATTTACAAAATGGAATACTAAATGGCAATAAAAAAAGAAGGAATCCTTGCCTTGTGTGACAGCATGGATGGAAATGGAGACTATTATGCTAATTGAAATAGGACAGTCAATGAAAGACAAACACCAAATGATCTCATTTATAACTGGAATCTAATGAACAAAATAAACAAATGAGCAAAATAGAATCGGAGGCACAGAAACATGGAACAGACTGACAGCTATAAGAGGGAAGGGAGAAAGTGGGGATGGGTTGAAATAAGGTGAAGGGATTAGACAAAGAACATACATGTATCACCCATTGTCATGAACAGTGGAGATGGACTGTGGGAGAGGGCAGTGAGCTGGAGGGAGGGGCAAAGGGGGGAAAATTGGGACAACTGTAATAGCATAAACAATAAAAAAATTAAAAAATATAAAGTCAAGTATCAGCTTTTACTTAAATTTGAACACCATGACAACTTTATACTTTTAATTCAGTAAATAGAAGAATTGCTTTGAGGAAAATCTTACATTTAAGGAGTGGTTCTATGATTTCTAAAACCATTAATGTAAAATGAAGCACAAAAAGAAGGAGTAATATAAGATCTTAGTAAACATCCAGGTTGTATGACAATAGCGCTGCTCTTTACCTGAAACTTTTCAAAGCCTCCTTGTGGGAGTTTCCAAGACAAATATATTGTGTTTTCTTCCTGCCCAAAAATCAGCAAATCAGATGGTGGGTCTGGATCTAAGGTGATGAAGACACAGAAATGATATCTTTAAAAAAAGTTCTAACATTATGTTATCTACACTGGACTGAAAAGCTTTGATATCACACTGTGACAAAGAGGACAAGATACTTAGGTTTTTCTAGTCCGTTTTAGCACCGTGTGATCTTGTGCAAGCTATTTACCCTGAGCCTCAGTCTCTTCATCTCTACAATGGAAGGGAAAAAAGAATTTTCTAGAAATCCTGTTTCCACAGTAAAATTATATGAATGATGGGTATTGACGTTTATTTTTATCACAGCATAATTAAGTATACAGCTATTACAATTGGTATTTTTAACTTCAAATTTTATGGTATTGCACAAAATAAGAGATACCTCTATTTTCCTTCCTTAAGTTCACAAATTCCTTTTTCCTTTAAACATTTTTATCTGAGAAGGTTCTAGAAACTTATTTTCCTATCAGTAACATGTCTCTACTTCTAATTTATATTTCAAATTGAAATGTTGCATTACTTTCCTTAACTGGAAAAAAGTAATACACATTTTATTGAAATAATTTCATCTCTAAATTCAAATTTTGCATGAGATTTTTGTTCCTACTTACATGCTGGTTTAATTTTATTGGAATTCAGCTCAGAATTAAATGTGCCTGACTGATTCACAATCTTTTTTATTCCATTTCCTGTGATGCATATTTCCTTCCTATTATAATTAATTTATTATTCTCTTAACATATTTTGGCTCTGTTTTCTACCTTTTTAAATATTTCATCTACCTCTAAATGGATCTGAGGTGGCTTCAAAGAAAGGGAGGTACAATAAAATAAAAAATTATATATGGTACAAGACACAAATGAAATTATAAAGTGGGAAAGATAAAGATTTCTAATCTTGTCTGAGAAAAAAAAGCCAAAGCAACAACCTCTAAAAATATAGAAAATATTCTTAAACCCAGTGCAGAGATGAGGAACTTGAGGTCCACATGGAATGACGCTTTGTAGAAAGTCACAGAGCCAAGAATGGGGTGAGTCAGTCCTTCCTATAACAGAGGCTCCTCTACTGAAGCAGAGTGGTTATGAGGACAGAATTTGATGTCAAGAAAATGTGGATTCAAATCTCTGTCAACTTGTATAAGCTACTGAAATTTTCCCATCCTCAGTTTCCTCATTTTTAAAAAATATGCATCTATTATGATTGACAGGATAAAGGTTATCATTGAAAATTAAATAAGTCACAACATATCCTTAACAAGGTTTCTGACAAAGAGTAAGCAAGGTCAAGTTAACAACAATGACAATGATGACAATGACGACGGTGACTACTAGAACAACACAACTCCAATCTAAGCAGCTTTCACTGATTTAAAATAATGAGCTATCATTTAAAAAATCAAGTTATTTCTCATCTATTTCTAATTTTTTTAATCGGAATGGTCATTATGAGAGGTAGCAGTGTCATATCAGTTGTAGAGTTAGATACCTGAGTTAAATCTTACCTTAAATAATGAGTTATCACCACCTCTGAGCCTTAACCTACATTTTAGGTAATCTGGGGAGACCCAAGTATTAACTCAAGCACACAGGACCATGTCGATATACAAGGGCTCGAATTTTTTAGTTTCTTTTCCAGGAATTGATTTGACTCCTGCTACATTTCCCAGGGCTTTCCCTTCCTCTGCACGCAAATTCTGAAATTAAGCCTCCTCTCACACTCTGAGTTCACTGGCACTGGAGCAACATTCACACAACTACGACCCACAAGTGGCAGGGCTCTTCGGAATGTCTCAGTATGCTCAGACACGTCAGTGATGCTAATGAGGTCAAAAGAGGCAAACTGAACCCAGGTAACGCAATTGAAAACACAATACCATTTATTTTTTATCATATTCCAAGGGTTTTTTTTGTTTTTCATAAAATGTTATACAGTCAAAATATTAGAAACATACTGAGTATTTAATAATGACAGTGCCCTAGGGTTTCAGGGTTCTTTGAACTTCAACTGAGAACTTTAAGTTTCACTTTAGTAACATGATTTTATAGCTAGGCAGAAATAATTATTCTCATTTTCTAAGTGAGAATGTAATAGTTTTGCCCAAGGTCCCATAACTAATAAGCAATAAAGGCAGGAATATAACTCAGACTTTCTCCATGTAAATACAGTGCTCCTTCTCTTCAAGCATGTCATAAACCACTTCCAAGTTCATTCATTTTAAATTACATATTGGCTTTAAACACAACTATTTCCCTTAATTTTACCCATGAAAAGTTAATTAAATATAAAATGAACTTACAAGTGCTAACCGTGAGGACAGTGGGATGGCTTCTCTTCGGCCCTTTGGTAGTTATAACACTAATTGAAAAGTCAGTCCCTGGAGAAAGGCTATCAAATGTGAATGTCCTACACAGTAAGGAAAGTCACACATCAGGATATTTAGTTCAGAAACATTTGGAAAACTCTGTCTTCTCACACTACCAAAAGAATTTTATATATAAGTTTTGTTTTTATTGTCTATCATGAAAACCATTTGATATGCTTAAGCACTAATGGTTAATTAGAAAGCATAGCTTCTAACATAAAGTAATTTTACACAAATCAAAGAGTGTATATTACACACATAAGCATGACAATACCCTGAAATAATTTATTATTATCTATTTGTAGAAATAAATGTAGTATATACATCAGTTATTCTAATCACATTATAGTCTAAAAAGTTGTCTTACAAAGTTTTCTAATTTCTATATATATTAAGCCACTCACATAGTTTATAAAAATATATATAAAATGTTAGCCTTGTGTTCCATGTAACTTGACATAATTTCTTTTCAACATTACCATACCTTTTTGTGGAAGGCAGCATTTCTTCTTTCATTAAGCTTTCACTGGATATGGAAATAATGAATCCGTCCAGAAGACTTCTAGGTGAAGGCCAGCTAACAGCTATTGCACTTGAGTTTCTACTATGGTTCAGAAATTCAACTGCACTTGGGGCTGTAGCATTTAAAATACACACTTAAAATAACATTTTCTACCTCACTAAGCACCCCCTTTAAAACAACCCTGAAATAATCTCAGGATTTCTTCAAACTCTGAGGGTAACCAAGGCATTCCTTTTATTCTTCTTAGCAGACAGGAACAGTTTAGAGTCAAAAGAGATTAAAAAAACAGCAAGAATCATTTTAAACTTTTAAATAAAGTCAATATGTGTCCAGTAGTATTACACTCAATATTTCCCTTGCCTCTAAAATGTTCAAAGAGATTATATCTTGGTCTTGTACAACAACCACCCTCAGAAATATTGAATGGTTTTTAGGACTCATTCTAATTAAATATCAAATAGCAACAAGACTAATCATCAGGAAAGTTAATTGCAATCTAAATATGAAATGCTTCCTTTCTTTCCTGAGGAAAAAGTGGAATTAAGTAGTACATAATATATATTTTGTTTCCTCTCTAAAATTTTCCCATAAATAAGAAAAGAACAAAATTGCCTAGTTTATCTCTCCATTCTATTTCTTGTTATGACAGTAAAAGAATACTAGACATGACCAGTTTCTAAATACTAAATATTTATATAGAGCATCAGGGTCAAGAAAAACCAAAACAGTTATTTCAGCAGAGGAGCTGACAATTTTCCTTCACCTAGATGTAAAAACGTACATTTCACGTGCATCCTTCCTAATCATCCTTTATTCCATCCAACTGCCATGGAATAGAATACCATCTGCCATTGGGAGTAAGCTCCTAACACTGGGGAAATGGCACTTCATTGTCTACCTAACTGAACAATGGAGAAATTAAATCAGAAATAAAGAGTTTGACCAGACCCTGGGCAATCAGTCACCCTGTTCTCTAGTAATACATACACGAAAGAGGTTGTGCTCAGCCATGCAAGGGAAAACAGAAAAAAAGACAGGATAGAGGACATTGCTGGCCAATAAAGAAGATCTAGAAAGAATGTACTATTCACTAAAGCTTCTCTGAAAGAGATAAATATGTGAACACTGAATAAGACCTGATGTGCTTACATAGCTGTACCTGTCTGTATTTCTTTTATGTCAGGAGCACTGTCTTTAAAACCTTCTTTCTCGGTGCGAACTGAAAAGGTGTACATTGTGGCAGGCTCCAGGTTCCAGAATGTTGCTGCTTCTTGCACCACTTTCTGGACCTGTCAATCCAAAAGAGCAAGTTTTCACTTGAGAACTGTTCCACAATCGAACACAAGCCAAAAAGCTTGGGGGTTATTTAATTTCACTACTGTCTAATATGAGAATGTAGTAATATTGGATTCAGTAGGAAAGATTCCAGTTTAATTCCTGCAAGAGCCTTTTATAACATACCATGAAGGCAGCAGCAGAGTTTATGCATGTGATTTCATAATGCTGGAAATTCCCACCAGCTCGATTCCAGAGAATTTCTATGGAAGAGTCGGTAACTTTTCCCTCGTGGATATTCGATGGTGCTTCCAAACCTACCCAAAACACACAACACACTTAAATTCTCCTTTGATGTTTTCTAACTTGCTTTTTCCTTTAATTTATCCCTTTAAAAGGGAAACACAAAGCGCAATTTTAAAAAATACAATAAAGTGTATTAATCAACTATCTCTCTATCCTAATTAAAAATAGTTGTTTACACATGCAATGACAGCTTATAAAATATGCTAATCATGCAATACTCAGAGTCATTGTAAATACCATTACAGGCAAGTAATTTCAATGTTGCAGCGAAAACTACATAGGAGCAAATTCACAACATTCAAAAGAGGAAAAAGAGATTACAGCTTTTGAAACTATTATCATAAGCTGAAAAGAAAATGGAGAGACAGATATGAAGTTTAGACAAAGTAAAAAATCTTCTTTGTATCAAATACTGGCTGAAGCTCAAAGCAATTTTTTAAAAAATTGTATTGTTGTTTAGGTACAGTTTTCTGCCTTTCCCCCTCGTCCCCCCAACCCCAGCCATCCCCACCTCCCTCCCCTGATTCCACTCGCCTTTGGTTTTGTCCATGTGTCCTTTATAGCTGTTCCTGAAAATCCTTCACCCTTTCCCCCCAATTATCCCCTCACATCTCCCCTCTGGTTACTGTCTATTTGTTCTTAATTTTAATGTCTCTGGTTAAAAGCAAATTTTTATCTGCAGAGCTTTTATGGTTATTTTTTTAACTTTAAAGATTTCATCTAGAATAAAGGAAAAAAATTATTTCAGAAAAACTGAAAAAAAGCTGACAGCTTTAGGTTGTCATCTTAAATATTGGTATATTTTGCTGCATGATATCACAATATTGTTATATTTAGATGATCAATTATTAATTATTTTCAAAGATAAAACTGTCAAAGAGAATGCTACTCAGGATAATTTGTAGTAGAAGGAAGAGAGGCAGAGAATACCATATTGAAAAGTATATAAAAATTGGAAGCAAAAATAAAACATATACTGAGATGGTTATAAATGTTAAAATGCTGTTGGAATAATATGATTTCTGACATCAGTTTGGAAGTATCTTATGGAAGAGTTAAATTTAAACAGCAATGGAAGGATTATAATTTGGAAGAAAGAAGACTCATGGTAGTCTGATATATGTGAAGATTTATAGACAGAAAGAGGAAATCATAAAGAACCTGGACATAGTATAGTTGAAATTTTAATGTTTTTAGAATGCCATGTGATATTTGCATGGTATTTATTACTCTGTACCATTAATTTCTATATATACTAGATGAATATCTTAGATAAAATATACATGCTATAAATGTTCAAAATTAATATTTCTATATTTTTTGGTAAATTTTAAAAAAGATAAATTGACAGCTGGTGTGGTGAGGGGGCTGGGGGTGGAGGGATTGAGCACAAAAGGGGAAAAACAAGAGAAAAAACTCATGGACATGGACAACAGTGTGGTGATTGCTGGGGAGAGGGGTGAGGGGAGGTAGAGGAGGGTACAGGGGGATATGTGGTGATGGACAGAGACTATTCTTTGGGCGGTGAACAACAATGCAGTGTACAGATGACGTCTTGCAGAATTGTGCACCTGAAACCTGAATAATTTGGTCAACCAGTGTCACCCCAATAAATTCAATAAAAGGAGAAAAAAGAGAAATCAAAAACAATATGAATCTCCAAATGTAAGTACTGATATAAACAAATATAACATGTATTAACTGTAAATATTCAAAGAGGTAAGGAATACACACACTAGTTCTTTCCAGACAAATGCAGCATGGGAAGAGCAAGCACTTAGACATTATACTTTGAGAGACACTTTCAAATAATGTAATCTAGTCCTCCTCACCTGCCTGAAATTATCCACACGCCTTGCTTTTGGATTAAGGCGTTGAAAATTCTGATTAATATGCAAAGATTTTTTTTGTTAATGGATAGATTTTTAAAATTCATGCCCTCAATTTTATGCGTTAGCTCTATCCATATATTGGGCAATAAAAGATCAGGCTTAGCAGTGAGGTATTTGCAATTATCTTAAAAGATCTTTGAAAACTATTGCATTACAGTGAGCATAGATAGTCTACTAATTTGATATGTGACACAAAATCAACATGAAGGTAAAACTTACGCAAGTCCTAAAATACTTACATGTTTTTACTGCAGGCACATGATATGCATTACTGAATTTGGTCCCACTGATGGCAGAAACAGAGAAATTATATTCTGTGCCTGGGGTTAAATTGGCAACAGTTATTTTGTTGTCATGTTTCAAAGGCATGGTTAGATTTGGCCCTCCTTCAATTAGAACATGTATGCCATCAAACACTCCACCATCAGGTGTTTGAACAAATAAGATTACAGAAGTACTATAACTTTCATAAGGAATAACAATTTGCACTGGTTTGGGCTCTGAAAAATAAAAAGAGAGATTTATCATTAGTGTTTTTTTTCAAATTTCAAGCATATTTCTCTGCATTTTGTCTGTTTTGTTAGAATTTGTGAAAATATTATATGTCCATGCATTAAACTTACGTTTTCTATGTCAGCATTAGACAGAGAAACAGGCAGACATTTTGGCAGACCATATATGTACATGTATACTAGAAGTACATAATTAACTTTCGTTTTTTTGATTTGCAGTAGTAGTCTCAAAAATATACTTTGAGATTTTCCAAGTTTTCTTCTTTGTACTCATTTATTAAACAAATTCTTTTAAGAACTATGTACTAGACCAGGTACTCAAATGAAATAAATTCGGCCAGGGTCCTGCACTCCAAGAGCTCCCAATCTCAAGAAATAGGTGCACATGTCACTAGAAACCCAGATGATCAGAGTGTTACCGGTTTTAGGACACAAATTGAGAGGAAACCCCAGAGAAATTTCCAGGCTGATTTTACTAAGTTTATGCTAGAGCACAAGGGAGGCAGCGCAGAGGACTGCACTGGGGGCTGGCTCTGCTTGGCTGTTTTTATAACCTGGGGACGAGGCAGGCTTGCATGAAAGGATTGCTTCTTTTGCAAAAAGCAGGCTTGCAGAATTTTACATTTCAGGGGCAGGTGACTGCTTTCTGCAGCTGCACTGCCTCATAACTTTGTTCGTGCCATGGTGTGGGGCAACGTGGCAGACTGCTCATTATCACCACCCTAGAGAGGTCATATAGCAGTCACCTTGACAGTACAGTGATTGCTTGAGGGAAGCGGGGTGGAAAGAGGTAGAAGAAGGTAACAGGGTGGAGAGAAGGCAGGGGCGCAGGGATAAAGGTGATGGAAGGAGATTTGACTTGGGGTGGTGAACACACAATACAATATGCAGTTGATGTATTATAGAATTGTACACTTAAAACCTGTATAATTTTATTAACCAGTGTCACCCCAATAAATTCAACTAAAAACCCCACACGTGGGTCAGTAGTTTCCACATTGACAGTTAGAAGGGATATAAAATCAACTACCTCTGCATGTTTAAATAGGGAGGTGGGGATGGTAACATTCTTGCAGTCAGCCTAGCTGGCATTCCTTCTGGCCATCTGGTCCTGACTTGGCTGCCTGCACACCGGTGTTCTCCCATTCCCAGCCCACGATCCTATCCTGTCTCAAGAGCTGAGATGGTGACATGAACAAAAAGTTGCTGAGAAGAAAGGAAGAAATAACAATTCTAGTAGAGCTAGTTGGGGAAGGCTTTCCAGAGTCAGTAAAGTTTTATCAGAGTCTTAAAGGATAGTACGAGGCTAGCAAAAAGAGTGCGTGTGAGGGGGAGAGGCAGTGAGAAGGAGGGAATTCCAGGCAAAGAGAATATTTAACGCAGGCATGGAAACCAAAGAGGGCATCCTCATGTGTTTGGGAATATCAAGTTCTTTCTGCTCTTTATTTATTTATTTATTTTTTTGGAACTTTTTTTTAAGATTTTATTTATTTATTTTTAGAGAGGGAAGGGAGGGAGGGAGAGAGAGAGAGAGAGAGAGATCAATGTGCGGTTGCTAGGGGTTATGGCCTGCAACCCAGGCATGTACCCTGGCTGGGAATCGAACCTGGGACACTTTGGTTCCCAGCTCACGCTCAATCCACTGAGCTACGCCAGCCAGGGCTTCTTTCTGCTCTTTATTAGCTGAGTGTCTTTGGCACATTACTTAGTCACTCTGTGCTTTGGTTTCTTCGTCCCTAAAATGGTAAGGAGACTAGTATCTACTTTGAAGGATCACCGTGATGATTAAATGAGAGGTTATATTTATATATAAAGTGCTTGGAGCTGTGTCAGGCACACTCTCAAGCTGGTTAAAATTGTGGTGTCTGAGGAATGGGGACAAGGCCTGGAAGGGCCAACTCCGAGGCCAGATGCTATCTGTGCAAGGCTCTGCATGCTGTCCATCTGAGAGTATCCTGCAGGCACAGGGGTTTTGAGGAGACCTTTCATTTCATTTTTAGAAACACAGTTCTAGCAACTGCTTGGAGGACATTTTATACTCTCTGATCTCTTTTAAACAGCTTTAACTCAGTCTTCTACTGTGCTATTTAGAGCAGATTTGAAATTTCGGACAATTTTAATTCACACTATTTTTCTACAGGTCAGTTTTAATCTCAACTCTCTGTGGATTACTGGGATACCATCCAGTATATCCTTATATTGTCTTTCTTCCAAGTACATATCTTCTTGTAAAATACATATTCTGAAAAATGCTTCTTTCCTCCAGAGAATAATTAGATGGCCTTTTCAGTTTTATTGGTGACATCTGGTTTCATGTACTGGAACTTGTTCTAAGTTACTGTTAAAAATTTATTAGTGTGTTTCTGCTACTTTACATAGAGCCAGCATTGTGTAAAAGGATTTAGGCACACACATATTATTGGCATTCTAGAACATAAAATCTGTGCAATATATCCATCAGTTTTTTCAACTGTAACATATAACTTTCTTGCCTCTTCTATTCTTGGTGGTTATGAGAAAATGTTCAATATACTCACCATAAAAAATTTCCATATGGTATATTACTGGGTTTCAAGGCACTCTTACCATGATTTTCCTTTTGCAGTTATCTTAATTTCTCCTTTTCTCTCCATAACTAATTTATTGTAGGTTTCCTCTTTAAATTCCATCCAGCTCTCCTCAGTTACAAAGCTCTTAAAGTAAATGTGGCTTTTCTAAGGATAGGATGACATCCCACAAGTGTCCAATCCATCTGAATCTGTGGGCAGTGATCTGCGAAAGTTTCTAAATGTGCCTTGAGCAGCAATTAAAGATCTGGGGACTGGAAATGAGTGATGGTGTAGTCATGGAAACAATTCATTTCCATGTTCTTGGGTGCCAAAGACATCGTCCCAGGAGAGACACAACTTTAAATAGGCAGAGTCTAGTTTAAGTTCTGAATGTGGAGTCAGTGATAAATGTGGGAGTTTTCCCTCAGCTTCACTTGTCCAGGGAAATGGAGCCAATGGCCTTAACACACGACACATTAAACCTGAGGCTTCCCCAAGGCTAAAACGGTGTGGAGTAAGACAAAGTTCTTCCTTCTCTTCAAAATTATATCCTGAACCTCTGGAAACTCAAGTTGGAGAAGATTTCACTTTTAAAAAATAAAAGCTATTGACATATTTTGGGGACTACTGGTGGGTCTCCACCACTGTTCTGTGACCTCTCTTCTCAACCATTCCCTTCAAAAGCTCTTTCAAAAGAAGCTCTAGCACTGGGGGCTGTGTGATGTCTTTTCACTATAAGATAAACTAAACTAGGCTAAATTCAAAGGCTTTTATTACAGACAAGGTAAAATGAGGTCTCAGGAATGCCCAGTCTACATTAAAATGTATTCTACACCAAGCGGCAAAGAGAAAACACGAACACCAGCTCCCCTACAGTTCTTGCTCCCTCAACAGACGTGGGTACAGTTAACTCCTCCAACAGAAGGAGCCCGCGTGCATAGCTGGAGCAGCGTGCTGTCCCACTGAGAATGGCCACAGCTCCTCCACGCCTCCACGCCTCCACGCCACGCCCACGGAAAAATAAACGCCGTAACAATGACAGACACTCCCACAGTGCTTGCTCGGTGTCTGAGCCCTATGAACTTCAAAAAGTAGATAAGATTCTTATTTTTCTCATTTTAGAGAGAAGGAAATGGAGGACCAAAAAGTTTGAGTGACTTCCCAAAGGATGTAAACTGATCATTGTGGAGCTGGAATTCTAACACGAGCAATCCAGTCCCAAGGCCCGTGCTGTAAGACGGACTTCTCCCAAAGAAACAATTTATGTTTCAAGGTGCATAATAATAACTGGAAATCAAATTTTTCTAGTTATTTTCAGAATAATTTAGGCAGACAGAGAGAGACGTTTCAAAGGAGAAAGGGAAACAAAAGAATATGTAAATTTGATTTCCTTCTACATGTCTGTAAAAGTTCATTAAAAGGAAAATACCCCTCAGTGCTCAATTGCCTTAAAGTGTATGGGAGAGAGAAAATTTGAACATAGTAAATAACAGTTATCAACAAATACTGGTTGAATGAATGCATGGAAAGCATCAATTCTACTCATGCACCTTGGAATAGGTTAATATTTGTTTTGTCATCTTGAGATAAGTACAAATGGTAAACGATAAATAATCTGGTGATGCCAAAAGTGATTATCAAGCTTAAGAACTGGATAATAAGGCCAATAAGATTATAGGAAATAGTGAAATGCTCAAAGGAACTACATATAATTCACCAGAAAGAAAGGAACTATGGACCCAGGGGACTCAATGGGTGTTTCCAAACATTTGATGGCCTTTCCTGGGAACCTGAGAGTCCATCTGCTCTGGGATCCCCTGCTAGAGGACAATGACAGGAACGCACTAAAAAGAATCAGAGGCTCTGTAATGAAAATTGCGTATCAGATTGGCAAGAAGGTCTTTGTTCTGCCTTCAAACCCCAATATTTCATTATTCTTTCTAAAATTTATAGGTGTTAATCCAAGTTTTAGCTTCCATGTTGGAGAGCAGTTTTACAAATAACTGCTTAAATTAATTAACAACTGTGCTTATACCCAAAGATACAGAGCTGAAAAAAATTCAAAAGAGATCACTATCTAGAAAAAGGAAGCAACATTTTTATAATTTAGATGGAAGATGGGTGAAAATATGCTAAGTTCCCTAGAGTCAAAGAATAGGACTTAGAGCTGGAAGACAATTTTAAAGTGTACTCATTGATCTAACATTTTAGAGAGATAACTTAGCCACCGAGACAATATAGAGAAACTCTAACCTCATACAGCTAATAACTGACAGATGTAAGACTAGAGTTCATTTCCCATTTATACATACTAATTTTAGCACTTCCATTCTGCCAATAAATCATAGGCATGAAATAAGTTTTCAGCAATAGCTCTTTCTTAGCAGTTTTCTTTTTCATAGCTTTTTTCTATGATAATTATCTTTATGTTGATTTTCTTAGAAAATTAAGTATGAAAGTGCCATTCATGAATTTAGTTTTAGTCTTTGGAGGATGAAACAGGAAGACTTGATGCTAGCTGAGGGGAGACACTGCTGGTATATAATTTTGGGGGACCAATCATCTTTCCACCAGGCTGCCCTTACTGAGAGCCACAAGGCCTGTGAGGTCCAATGATGTTTCCTTCTTCAAAGTCACCACTATCCACCCAAATTGCTCAAGTCAAAACCCTAAGCTTCTCCCCTCCTTTATTTATCATCAGTGCACCAGCATTAAAGTGTGGACCATCTACTCCCGTAAATATAAAATGTATCTGCCCTTTCCCATCTTGTCCACCACAACCTTTTGTCTGTATTCTACAACAACCCCTTACCCAGTTTCCTTGCCCTTTCACAAACCATTCTTTGCATGTAGCTTGTAACATAGTTCACACTGTCACTCTCCTGCAGAAAACCCTCAACGGCTTCCCATCGCCTCTCGAGAAACTTTCTCACAAGCATAGACTGTAAGGCCTATGTGATCTGACCCCTGAATGTCTCATTTCCTAACACCTTTCTCCTTATTCATCAGGCACCACACATTCTGGCCTTCTTTTTCAGATATACCAAACTTCTTTCTGTTGTCCAGCCTTCATGCTAGCTGTGTATATCTAAAGTATCCTTCTCCCATCTAATTCCACTCTGGCTCCTTATCCCTGAAGTACCCACTCAAACGTAACTCTTCTCTTACAGCCTGTTTACAACAGAACTCTCCTCCCCTCTTCAATCACCCTCTATCACATCACTTTGCATTTTCATCCCTAATGTTTATCACAATGTATAAATATGTATAAATATTATTTCATTCATAAATTTTCTTTTTACTTTTTAAACTGTGTTTCCTTAATAGATTTTTCAATGATTACTCATTGAGTAAATTAATCTTTTGAGAAAGGACAGGGAAATTTTTTGCTTGTTTGGCCCTAAACTTTCACATACTGTCAATATTTCCTTCCAGCATGCCACAGCATGCCTTTGTTAACATAGTGACAATTATAAATGCATGCAGCTATGTGTCGGGCACTATTCTGAGTTCTTACATTTACCAAGTCCACTATCCTCAGAGAACCCCATGGCATATACAATTATTTTCTCCCATTTTGTAAGTGTAGAAACTGAGGCATACACAGGTTGAGCACATTGCCCAGAGTTACTCAAAGAGTTGAACCCAGATTCAAACCTAGGTAGTGTGGCTTTAGGATCAAGTTAATCATAAATGATGCTGCCTTTATACAAGCAGGGAGCATTGTCAAGACAAAAGGGATAAAAATCACTCTAGGTCCTGAGGCTACCTACCACTAGGTAAAGCACACCAACAATCTACTTAAAAAAGGTGAAACCTACTCCCCAAGGAGTCTATAGGGAATATTTTATAGTACCCCAAGATCAGCAAATACCTGCTAATAATGAATGAAAAGTATTTGGTTCTCACTTAGAGTTTGTTGAATCGTTACCAGCTCACTCAAATTCCCATTCATCACCGTTGCCATTCCAATGTCATACGTCATCCCAGGGATTAAATTATCAATCTTGGACCTATTGTCATCCTTGACAAAAAGATTCATGACTTCTTTTGCATCTGGTATGGATTTGATTTGAATGTAGACCTCGTGGCTATCTTGTGGGAATTCCCACTGAAGAATTATACTGTCCTCTCCCACATCTTCAGGGTTAGCATAAACTTTCTGAGGTGGATTTATGCCTTGGAGAAATAGATAAATAAATACGTATCTTAGTTTATTGTCAGCAGCACTCATTCTATTGAATAAAAATATCTCAGTTCAATGTAAATTAGTATTTAAAGTAATTTAAACAAATCTTAACATTACCTTCTCTTAAAAAGAAGTCATTTTGGAGAAAAATATGTCTTATTACTATGTAAGATTTATCAATATGATTAAAAACAAACATTATATGTCAACAGAAAATAGATGGAATTTTGCAAATTCTTTAGATTTTTAAGCGGTTTATCAGGGTAATGTTCCTGTTATTGAAATTATTCAGCCCCTTATCCAATATACACAGGCACCGACTATGTGCCAGGCATTCTCCTGGGCATGCAGAGTGCATCAGTAAAAACACAAAGGTCGCTGCCTTGTGGAGCTGGAAATGGACAACAAACAACACATATACCAAATGTTTACATTACACAGTACTTGAAATACAAAAAGCACTAAAGGAAAATGTAAACCACAGTTCAGGAGATCAGCAGTGGGGTGCCTATAGGAAGGAAGTCATGGTTTACATAGAGAATTCAGGGCAGGTGTCTTTGAAAAGATGAGATTTTGAGCAAAATACTTGATGAGAGAGTGAGACACACAGGATTCTGGAGAAGAGAGCTCCAGGCAGAAAAAACATCTAATGCAAAAGCCCTGCAATAGGAGTTTACCTGGCATCTCCAAACACAGAGAGAAAGCCAGAGTGAATGGAGAAAGAATAACAGGATGAGGCCAGGGGTTAACGGAGCACCAGGTCACACAAAGCTTCATAGGCCTTTACTTTGAATAATACAGGCAGCAACTACAGGATTATGTGCAGAGGCATAATCTTGCCTGCATGATAAAGAATCGCTTGGGCTGTTTATGTTAATAGCAGTCTACAGAGAAGGCCAGTGTTGGAAATAGGGAAGCAAGGCCAGTCACCTGGGTGAGAGTGGCGGCCAGGGTGATGAGAGCCCTGAGGGAAGTGGGGACAAGTATTGGGATTTGGGTTAATTTGAAGACAGAACCGACAGGATTTCCTGACCGATTGAGTGTAGGCTGTGAAAGAAACGCAAGGGTTAACAACACCCGCCAGGTTCTGGCCCAAACAACTGGATGAAAGAAATGACTGTGCATTGATGTGGAAAGGGCTGTGAGTGAGGCAGGTTTGGGTGGGCGCATTTGTGGTTCAGTTTTGGACATGCTCAATTTAAAATGTCTCTTAGATTGCCAAATGTGATATATTGAGTAGGCAGTTAGGTATTTAAGTCTGGGGTTCAGGAGAAAGGTCTGAGCTCGCGGTATAAATTTAGGCATCATTAACATATAGATGGCTTTTAAAGCTTGGGACTGGTATTTATCATAAAGATAATTGCAACTTTAAATTATACTACCTTTCTAATTTCTGAAAGGTATGACACATTTAGAAATAAGGAGAAAATTATGGTATTTACAATAAATGTAAAACATAATCGTAGAATTTTTTCTTTTCTTTCTTTTCAATTCTCACCCAAGGACATTTTCTCATTCTTTTAATGAGGAAAAGAAAGAGAGAGATGTGAGAAACATTGGCTGTTGCCCCTTGCAAGTTCCTCAACCGAGCATCAAGCCCACAACCTAGGCATGTGCCCTGACTGGGAGTCACACCCGCAACCTTTTTGGTGATGGGGCTCCAATCAACTAATCCAGCCACACTGGCCAGGGCAGTTTTCTTGATCCTCTATTGCAAACCAAAGAAAATAATTTAGTTTATCTCCTTATACAATTTATTTGAATTTCAAGCCTTGTGACTTTACTTATAACACTCTGGAATTTATAAAACCTTCCTTTTAATCCTGATTATTTGTCCTCTGTTATGTGCTTTCCTTGAACTTTTAGTAGTTCCCAAGGACAATGATGAATCATTAGTTCATTATGAAAAGGATGATTATGGAATTCTAAACTGTTCAATAGTTTTATTTTAAATAATCTTTAAAGAATTAATTGTGATTTTCATAATTACTTTGAAGAAATTATAATTAGATCTTTAATCCATTCTGAAGTTTACTTCCTTATCAACACAATTAGACACTGCATTTTAATTTTTCAAGAAAATATCATTCTTGGCCAGACCTGTAGTCTGCGCAGCCTATATCTTAATTTCACAAAATCGTTGCTGACCTGGCTTTAAGTGTTGAATCTGATTATTTATGTAAAATTATCAGAAAATGCCAGCATAATTCAATTAGAAAAACTGTTCACAAGATTCCAGGGTAAAACAGTGTTATATCTTTGTTCTTACATAGCTGCAAAACTTAAACATCTATCAAAAACACTTCCTTTAGTGGAGGATTCAAATGAAATCCACTGAGCACCTCACGGAAGCGGAGCTCGGGGCAACGGTGACGGCTGGCAAGTCTGTGACAGCCCTGCAAGTGCAGAGCTCTCTGTGCACGCCTGTGTGTGTTTACAGGAGGGGACTGCTCACTCTCCCACCCTCTCAGAGGCTCCCTGGCCCCAGAGAAGTGAAATTTTATGCAATAAAAATATACTTTTCAATACCTATCAAGGCCCTTCATGTTATGAGTCTAGATTACACTTTCTAGACTCTCTCTCCACATGCCCTTCTGTACCCCAGGGATGTCAATGTCTTTTCAGTTTCCTAATGGTCACATGCCCATCCTCCAAAAGCCTTATCCTAGGCTTTCCTAGGTCTGGCTAGATTGATGCCTGCCTGGGCCTCTCTGCCTATGGGCAACTGTTTGCTATCCTTGCAACATTCTTCTGCCACCCCACTCCCACCTGACACACTCCTGTTCCTTAATGACTCAGAGCATCAATCCTCCACAGAAAGACTCCTGTGGCTATCCCTGTACCCCGAGTCTGGGTTAACTGAGCCCTCTCCATGTTTCCATGTTATCCAGAGCATAGCCCCTATAACAGTAATTATAATACAGCATTATTACTCTTTTTTAACTTACTCATCTCACTCCTTTAGTGAAGGCAGAGAGCAGGTCTTACTCATGTTTGCATCTCTACTCCCTACTGTAGTTCCAGATACTAAAAAATAATTGTTTAGTAAATAACAAATAAAACAAAAAATATTGCCTCAACCTCAGGTAGGTAAAAAAGGACTGCGTTCCTAAATCCTGGGTATGCACTGCTGTGTCAGCTTACAGTTAGCATACATAGCAAATGACTCAAGATTCTGTGTGCAGACAATGACTTCAAAATTAATGCATCTATGAGAAATACTCCAAGTCTGCCTATCAGTTAGCATTTATCAACTGAAGGATGCTCTGCCTGAGCTCAGGGAAGAAAAAATATATTCTATCTACGAAAAATTCTTTTGGTTAGGATTTGCAACACTGAATACATATAAATGAAGCATTTGCAGTTTAGTAAACATTAAATGATATCTTTTCTTATTGATATTATTTTCCAAGAACCTGAAGTATTTCTAGTAAGTGTAAGAAGGTTAATTACTCTATGGCTGTGAACATGCAGGTTTTACATCTCAGCTCTAGTGTGTTTAAATTTTAACAGTGGGATTTCAAAGAACTTGGCATGAGTGCATGTTTAATACACAAACACACATGCAATACATACATTACCCACAAAGGGAATATGTGTTTAGTTAGGCACTGTTTCATACAATAGTGTTTTATCATTACAAAAAAGACTGACTTATACTTAAGGAGGTTAACAGAATGCTTAAATAAAAGATAAATTAATGATTTTGTTTTAGACAAGGATTCTAAAACTGCCATGTGTGAGTGGAGAAGTGTCTTGGCCCAAAGTCCTAGGATGCAACTGCCCCCTAGTGGTCAGTAATCACACTGTGTGAGAAAATGAACAAAGTAAAACATTAAACGTGCAGTCTATATGCTTGTTGGATTTAGTGTTATTAAATATAACTGGGTGAACTAATCTTTATATTTTATGAAAACTTATTTTCTATCCAAGGCTATGATAAGCAAGATATCTTCTAGGAACTCTGGTAGGAACAATGCAGATGCTTAAATCTAAATAAATTTATTTATTTAGAATCCATACTTAAAATTGTGATTCACAATTCAAGCAAATATTCAACTGAGACTATAAAGGATCAGAATAATTACATTTTATCAAAATAATATTCCAACATAGGCAGTTTATTTTTTTATTAAAAAGCAAAACATGTCCACACTTACCTGTGATAGTAGAAATAGGTTTTCCAGAGCAGCTCAAAGTTCCTCTTTCTGCTACACTGAACAGATATATCAAATAATGATGAAAAGATTTGAGGCCTCTAATTGTTGTTGATGTGTTGAATTTTTCAACAAACACCTCTTCTGACTTATTATTTTCGACATCCAAAGTAGTTACAAGATAATGATGAAAAGACTCAGGGTCTGGAGGATCCCAGTGTAAAAATATTTCTGTTGGGGTCACATGCAGAACTGTGAAATTTTGGACTGACAATGGGCCTAGAAGATAAAAATGCATGATATTAGTGATATGGCTGGCCAGAACAGTCACTTGCTCCTCAGCACTTCTGTAATAGCAAAAACTGGAAAACTGGGTGTGAGTACCAGCTCTTACACTCTCTAGTTCCATTCTCTGAGTAATTTACTGCCTTTCAGCCTCACCTTTCTTGACTATAAATAATGGAAATTATAGTAATAGCTGCCTGGTAAAGTTATCATGAAGATTAAATGAGATAAGGAATGGAAAGCACTTGGCACCATGTGTGACACATTATTATTCCATCACTATTTTTAATGCAAGCACCACAGAAATGGCACTTATGATGTTCAGGAATCATATGTTACATGTCTTTTCCCTCTTCTGTCTTGTCAGACTAGAGGGCAGGGACTTCACAGTATTCACTCTTCGTTCCCCCATCATCCCTGGAACTCAGGCACTTGTCCTGTTTCAGAAATATTTCCCCACCACAAACCATTTTATCCGCATGCTTGTGATTTCCCTATTTAATCCTTAAAGATTAATTTTCTTAAAACAGCATCTTGCACATATCAGTCACAAACCCATATCCATTCCCCACGCTCCGAATATACACATTCTTCTTGGTTCTTTCTTTAGAAGCAACATCTCAAGAGTTAAAATAAAACCATATGGGTTCCTGTTTGGATCTACTAAACAAATCAGTTACTCTAGTCAGTTTGCTTAACCTTTCTGCAGTTCAATTTCCTCATTTCTACATCGCTACTCTCAGAATTGAGGACTGAGTTAAGATAATGTGTTAAGAGTACATTGATGAAGGTAGAATAAGTCTTAAAAACCTATAGTCTTAACTGATATCCATGCTTGTAAGGTAAGTCCAATCATCTGAGACAGAGAACTCTGGCACTTCCAAATCTGTTACCACTACCTCTCAAGCTGATTTTACCCTTATGCCCAAAGAAATCTCCAGTCAGTCTCCCTTATTCTTTTTCCATAAATGTATATCTCTACATATTTGCTTATGTGTTTCATCCTTCAACTTTGAGTCCAAGCCTCTCCTTTCCACGAGTTTTCCACTATCACCCACCCTCTGAATTCTAGAAAGCACTTATTAAACACACTGCTGAGTGAGAATTTAGGTTACATTTTGCAATATAGTTTTGTTTGCATTTACTTTATTCCTCACTAATTCTCTCCATTGTAATCCTCTCAAAGTCCAGATACATGTCTGTTTACCTTTTGCTATTAACACATGTAAAAAAATCCATTTCCACAGAAATTTATTGATTATCTACTATAGACTGGGCTCCAGTCTAGCTGATGACAAAGAAGATATAGTTCCTTATAGGTTTACATAAGGAACCAAATTTTAAACAGATTCATTGTCATTTAAAAGTGGTAAAGTTACAGGTGTACACAGTGTTATGAAAAAATACCAGACCCTCAGGAAATAATCATATTAAATACTTGAAAAAGTATAACTTCAGATGACTTGTAACTTACGTGTTTCAACAAGTAACACCGGACTTAGTGTAGTTCTTGCCTCCCATTCATTTATCATGAACAGTGAAAATCTGTAAACACGGCCAGGAGACAGTCGGGTAATTGATTTTTCTGTAGTGTTTGGGGGTATGCTCTCAAAATGTTGTTCTGTATAATCTAAATAATATTTAAGGGTAATTTTATATCCTGATTTCAGCCACTTATTCAAAGTACTCCAACCATTCAGATTATTCCAACTAAATACAACTTCAGTAGTTCCAACATCCTTTATATGGATCAAAGGGTTTTCCGGCAGAGAGGGTGCTAAAAGAGATATTTAAAAAGAATTATTTTAATCACAAATTATAATTCTATTTTTAAATAATAAGAGTGAAGTACATAAATATAATACTAATAAAATAATTACATTCATATTTGCAAATATATGGCAATGGAACATAACAGAAAAATCTTGCAAAAAAATAGTTTGATCCAGTTGCATTTTGCTGTAAAATGTAGCAATCTGTTTCATTCTTGGGTAGCAGTATAAAAGAAAACAGTTCATTTTTCTTAAGACCATAAGATGATCCATCTGTCCATGTGAGGTGACCTTCTTTCTGTAATAAGATACACAAATTACACCAATTTAAAGGAAAAGTTCATATCTTCAAATAAGTGTACTTGAAGATTTTCATTAGTCATACCATTATTATAGAATTTTCTAAGATTGTTAAATCATCAACCAGTTTAATATATATTTATATAGATTTCCCTTATTACAAAGATTTTAGGCTTAGGACAAGTTCACTTTCATTCACTCACTAACCATACGTAGTGGCAGATGGCTGAGTCTCACACTAAGCCTCCATCTCCTCATCTGTAAAAATGGGTATGTATCTGCACATTAAACAGGATGCACAACAGCGGGACACAATTTACACATGAAACTGTTGTGGAATTAAAGAGGCAGTGCATGTGAAGGTTTCACACAATGCCAGGCACAGACCCATTATTCATTAGATGTTGGTTATTTTATTCCAAGTCATCAAATAAGTCATATGAATTAGGAGAGGTTATTGATACCTTTCTGCTAAAGGATGTGACTGGCGAATATTCCTAACCGCAATTCTCACAACTTAACCAATGCATTTCTAGATAGTCATGTGTCTACCCCCCTTGAAAGGGGTAGTAGGAAAAGTACAAGCTTTGACAAAGATACAGCTGATTCTAATCAATATTTCTTCCAGCTACTGTATACTCTTGGACAACTGCCAACCTCTTAGAAACTAAATTTTTCACCTATACAATGGAGATAGTCATAACTCCTTGCATGGTTGCCAAGAGGTTTAGAGAGTGCGTATATACAACACCGGGCACATAATAGCTCCTTATAAAATAAATATAGTTCTTACAGAGATAATGAGCTCTATGAAAACAGAGACTATATCTATTTTTTTTATTATCATGTCATCCTGGCATTGAGCACAGGTCCAGGCTAGTAGCATCAATGAGGAATAAAGAGAATTGCTCCTTCCAGAGATTCTAAGGAAATTTTTTTAAATAGCACACTCCAATTCCTCAGTCTGCTTTATTGCATACATGGTATTACAGTTTTGACTACAGACAGAGGCTTGTGGGGAGTATGTTCAAGTGGTTAGGGCATGAGTACTGGTCAGACAGACACAGGTTCAAGGCCTGGCATGGCCATTTATCAGCTATATGAGTCAGAATCTTTGTGAGCTCCACATTCCTCAGCTAAAAAATGAAAATAATGACAAGTTTGTTGTGAGAACTAAATGAGAGTTACCTACCTCACAAAGTAGAAATTAGAGACAATTATCCTTTCATTCATTAAGTTCCCGCTGAGTGCCAAGCCCCAAATGAAGCTAGAAATGCAATGATGAATATGACAGTCTGTCTTTGAAGCCCAGTGACAAACTCATGCATGTTCAGCATGGGTGAAAGAGGTGATTACTTTCTCACACTATCACAGGGATGGTGACCCAGCAGGTGACTTTGATGTCAACCTCAAGAGACCAGCTTAATGCAGAGGTCAGAGGACAGTGGTTAAGAGCAGACTGATGTGTGTCCACAGGGACATGCTAATCTTCCCCTGCCCCAATTTCCATTTATGTCATACAAGCACACCACATAGGACGTTGCTTAACACTTACAAGACACTATAGGACTTAGCTATTATTATAAATAAAATTGGTCTAGATATTTTGATGTTTTATTTACCTCCCAAGTTATTTTTAAGTACCTTGAAAGCAGGACTACATCTTTAACACTTTTGAAAAATTCACAGCAACCACAAGGATGGTTTGAGAGCCTCCTCGATTATTACGACAACATGACCTGAACGTTTTAATAGAAACCAGCAACCATAACTATTGGAAAAGAACATTCTAACTTAAGCCACTTATAACAACCACACAACAGCAGGAACAACAATATATACACTGACTGGAATACTTTGAAAGAAACTCTAAAGCTGGGAGGGGAGTTTCTAGGATGCCCAAAAGGACCTGTAGTGTGAGGGATCACTGGTAGAACTTCACTCTGTGTCTTTTAAAGAATAAAGGAAGTTCAATGAGAGAATGATGAACATGCAATTAAATATTAGCAATACTTTCCCCCAAGGTTATGCAAAGCTCCACAGAAAAATTGGTATCAAACTGGTACAATTTGCCTCAGGTCCCTGCAGACCAAGATATCTTGTGGAGAACAGGTTCATCTTTGAGTAGCAGGATGCAAAATTAAGTGGATCATCAGGGAGAAACACATACTAGACAGGAAACAGTGTTTGATGCCTTGGGTGATGCTACAAAATGCTGACCAAAGTGAAATTCCATGAGATATCTTGTAGTATTTGGAATGTTGGAGAAAAACATCACACTCTCTTTTTCACTGATATTGAATAAAAATCTTCAACTCTTTCTGTATCTTTGAGTAAAATTGAACTTTATAGAACTGCATATGAGGAGTGGAAGAAATAAAATGGACAAGACTTCCATGTTTTAGGTTCATACTACTGTATTGTTCACAGAGGTGAGAGACAAAGGGAGTGAAGCGGGTGTGGTGCAAGGAGATGACAAGTAGGCCCGGGCAATGTTGACATCAACATTGTGCCTGTGGACAATTTCAAAAGGCATAATCAGAAGAAAATTAGATGTCTGGAGCTCATAAGAAAAAAGTATGCTAGATAAATGTTTGAGAATCACTGGGTTAGGTGATAAATTAAGAAATGGATGGGGTTGGGACTTCTGGCAAGATGGAGGCATAGGTGGACACGCCGTACCTCCACGCTCAACCAAGATTAGAACAACAACAATTTAGAGATAGAATAACACCTAGAACTGATAGAGAATTTATCTGAATGGAAGTCAGACA